TTTGCCGCTTTCATTTCCATATAAGGTCAAACACAGGTATAATGGCTGGTAACCGAGATCCAGTGAACCAAGCAGAAAGCTAGAATTGCATTATCCGAGGCTGAGAATTTAATAATTCGTCTTAGTGTGAAAACGGAACGGTGCTCATTTTAGACGGATAGTCCGTCTATTTTTATCCGTCCGATTATCCGTCTATATAGACGGATAATCAGACGGATATAAATAGACGGATAATCCGACGGATTATCCGTGTCTAGTGTGAAAACGGCCAGTGATAACAAATCTCATATAAAGCCCAATATTATGCTTGGGCTGCCTTTAGCAGCGTAGCTGTGGGGCCCTGGGTAGGAGAGAAGAGGAACCAACATGGCGGCTCCGTTGAAGTTCATTTCTCGTCGATCTCCAGTTGTTTCAATGCATGGAGCGGTGGCCTCTAGTCAACCATTAGCGACGGAAGTGGGAGTAAGGGTTCTAAAAGCTGGCGGAAATGCAGCTGATGCGGCAGTCGCTGTTGCCGCGTGTTTAAACGTGACTGAACCTTGTAGTACAGGAATAGGCGGGGATGCTTTCTGTTTGTTCTATGACGCCGAAAAGAAGATCGTCAGAGGGATCAATGGAAGGTAATTACCTATAAAACAACCTGCAAATGCACTGACTTTCCTAGGATGGTGTTGTTTTAGTCTCGATCTGCACATAAGTCAATTAGTGAACAATACTTAGACTTTGGACATTGTATTTTTTTATCCACATCGCCCCTCCTTTGGGGGCAGATTTCAACACCCCAGTATTTTGTTGTTCGGTGCTTTGAATTTTGCATCTGAGAGGTTCAGAATTTTGTTACCTTCTTCCAAAAAACATCCCAACAGGCCCTATGCCAGAGGCTGTAGAAAAATGGTGAGAGGGGTGGGGGGGAGGGAGGGGTACTGATAAAAAATGGAGTGTTCCCTTTAAGCTTACATGGGGCCCATTGTTCTTTGGGGAAGAGAGGAAGAGGGTTGAGGGACACGCACTGACTATGCTTTGTGACTACCGAGTCACCTAGCCACTCGAGTAATTAGCTTCTTACATTTGACTGTCCAGTGGCTAAGTCTGTACTCTGTAGATTAGATATAGTCCAAGTACAAAGTATCAAGATGACCCCTAGAAAAAAATACAAAAAAACATGAACTCCAGATGGCCATCTAGCCAGTAGCCTTAACACTAGAGGTGGAATATTAGTCCATCCAGTGTTTTTTCAGGGTAGTTAAGCCTGACAATTTGACAGTACTCATCTACATTGACATTATTCTCCTGGGTGCTGAGAGTGAGTGACACTGTGTGAGTGAAGTATCCTAAACAAGCACAATCACCACATGTTGGGGTTGTGAACCCAGAACATTTGATTGAGAGCCCAGCTTTGCCACCACCCACCCTCACGTAGTCTCCAATGCCCATTTTCCTTATGTTGTGTTCTTATGTTGATTTGCTTTGTGACGTAAGTCATAACCATAGATGATGGCAGTCATTGAGGCATACTCCCAGCATTATCATTGCCTTTTGAGACTTCCTTAAACTTGATTAGTAGTTAATGCTCCCAATCAACATATATACATGTGTATTTTGCATCTTAGACACACTCCACACTCATAGGAATGTGTAGCTACGAATACCTCTTTACATACACTAACACTTCTGTTTGTGCTACTGCAGATTATAACGTGCAAAGGCCATATAGCTATAGGGTGAATGATGGTAAATCTGACACCCACCAAATCCTCAAGACAATAAAATTCTTGTTTGGAAACATGAGGCTGAGACTAAAATGATTTTAAATTTGAAAATGAATGAAAGTTTTTGTAAAGCACTGAAGAATGAAAATTAGCAACATGAAAAGTAAACGAAGTTTTGACGACTCCAGGTCATCATTATCAAGTTCGAAATACATGATAGAATTGAATAAATATAAATAGTAAAATTGATGTGAAAATATTCAGGGAATTAAAAGGGTGTTAAAGTAGCGAACTTAGCAAAAACTTAGCAGGAAAATTGGAAGTTATTTGCACCCAGTGTTTACTAGTAGTAAAATCATTGATGACATCAAACCTAATCTGGAATGATTTTGCATCCTTTTGGTCTTCCGTTTCTGGCAAAATTAACCTTGCACTACAAGATGTGTTACTAGGTAAATTAGACGCAGAAATAGAAATATTGAATTACTTTATTACGCTTGTTAAACTAGTTACATATTTGGATAAGTAGGAAATGTGGTGTAACTCCTAATCTAAGTGCTTTTAAAGAAATTGTGAAAATGAAATTTAGAACTGAGAAATATATAGCTATGAAAAACAACACAGAACTTTACTTTCAGGCTAGGTGGTAGCCGTATGTCAAATTCATATTAGAAACTTAATTTATAGTATTCAGTCTTTTTTTTATTTAATTTCATTATAATATCAGGGCGTGTGAAATAACTGTTACTTATGTTAGGTGTTATGTAATTTCTTTTTGTTTTTGAACCTCACAAGGTTATAATAAAAAAGTGGAAAAGTGGAAAAAAAAACCAAATGGTGGAGACCAAACCTCCCCTGATCAACCAACATTGCGTTGTTTACAAATTTTTGTGTGATCTGTGTGATACAGATTATGTTGGATATAGATCACGACATCTCTTTCAACCCATCGCCGAACATAAACATTCTGCTATTGGTAAACACCTGAAAGAAGACAACTAATCTACAAGACCAATTTACAGTTTTAAAGAAATGCCGCAAAAAGTTTGACTGCTTGATCTTCGAGATTCTGTTCATCAGGAACATAAAACCAAACCTTACACGCAGTCAGATTCAGTTTGCACCAAACTCTTTACATAACAATTGAATGCTTTAACACCCTTTTAATTCCCTAAATATTTTCACACCATTTTTGCTATTTATATTTATTCAATTCTATCATGTATTTCGAAGTTGATAATGATGACATGGAGTCATTGAAACGTTGTTCACTTTTCACATTGTTAATTGTCATTCTAAAATGAATCAAACACACAGGAAAATAATACTTGGTGATTCATCGTAGAGGGTTCCAAGATTCTGAGATACAATGATGAAAGGTTTTCAAGACCCAAGAGGTTTTTTAGGTATCATCTGCCACCTCAAGCTGGAGTCTTTTGTATACATGGCATGTCTGTGATGTTAGATACTGTTCCAGAAGGCAACTTGATTAATTTTTTTTTTAAATTATCAATGTTGATTTCTAGTGGACGGGCCCCATCTAGCCTGACACTAGATCTTCTAAAGAGTAAAGGTGTTGTGAAGCCTGGAGATAATCACCTGCCATACAATTCTTCTCACTCTGTCACAGTTCCTGGAGCTGCTGCAGCGTGGTGTGATACAGTGGAACAGTTTGGCAGTGGAAAGGTAATGTGTGTTTGTGCTGTGGTACATGTGCATGAAATATTGAAGTTATGGAAACCACTTACTTGTAATTAGTGAACTGGAATAGGACATCTGTGTCAAGAGAGTACTTTGGGAACAAAAACTTCAAGTGATTAATAATTGCTTTGAACCATGCAACACTTGTCGGATGACACCAAAATCACGTTTTTATGCCTTGTTCACCCTTAGATGCAACTGACAGTGATAACAATGCCATTTTAATATTATTATATATATGTTCATTTTTGTTAAATAGTTATCAATGAAGGATATCCTTCAACCAGCAATTGACCTGGCAAAACAAGGCTTTCCTGTTCACCCTGTGGCTGCATATTTCTGGGGAAAGTGTTGCTTTTGCCTCAAAGATCCTGCAAACAAACATGGCTCAGATATGCTGTTGAATGGAGAGCCTCCTAGGGGAGGTGATGTAATGGTGATGCCACATTTAGCTACAACATTTGAGGTAAACATTACTGTAAGGACAGCTTGAAATAACCTGCCCCTCCNCCCCCCCCCCCCGCACACACACACAAAAAAGCCTCTCCTCCAGTACCCATGCATCTTAGACAAAGTCTCTGTAATGTTACTCTGTGGCACTTAAAAAATCTGAATGACATGATGTTATTCTTCTTCCATGTCATGTAATTTGTGTTTATTTGTCACACAGTCACATAAATGCACTTCATTTTTACCTCATGGTATGAGGTTAGTCATGCTATGGGTTTAGAAATGAACCTAAAATTCACTCACTCACTCAGTCCATTCTGTTAGACAATTAACTTATGCATTAGACCTGGATTAATTGTGTTTTCCAATGCCTCTGCTCCTAAGTTTGCTATTGCCCCCAAAGTTTCTGTGCAAATAATATTGTGCAGTACCAGAAAATATCCATACTCCCCCCACAGGGGATTGGAATTTCCTGGGGTTAGGGGGTTCTCTAAGACCAAAAAATTTAATGAAATGTATCAAGTTTAATTGGAATTTCCAGAGGGGTGGGATGTCTTGAAAATCCCTTCCATGGGGGAGGTATGGATATTTTCTGGAACTACTCATTAGGGGATAGGACAGATGTGTAAATTATGAATAAAAATAGGGGCAACTGAAGGAGGTGAACGACGTGCTAAAAATAGATTCATTATTAATACCATGAGGAAGCTCCAAAGAGCCTTTGAATAATAAATTGATGATTTGGGGCATGGTGTTCAGGGCTGAAAGGTGAAGGATAATAATCCAGTGTAGCTGGATAAACAAACCAGACCAGCCAAACATTAACCAGGCTTTTATGCCTACACCCTGGTTGACACAGTTACAGAAATCATCTCCCACACAAAAAATGAGAAGATATAATCCCAGATCACTTTTTGTGCTAACTTAACAACTTAACGTGCATGTAATTGGAGAGTTCACCTATTTGGAAATCGAACCCAAGATTTATTATAAAAATTAAAAGACTTTTTCCCTTTCCCTGATCCTTTTGATCTGATCACAATGTAAAACTGCAGTTACCTTTGTTAGTCCATTATTTTTGAATTATAAAATAGCTGAGATTCTCATTCATATTTTTGTCATCATATACAGAGGACAAAAAATGGTTGATCTGATAAAACAATGTCAAACTTTTAGTGTGTGCAAATCACGGGGTTATAAAAATTTTTGATTGGAGCGTTCTCCTTTGCTTATTTACATGACTATTGTACTCAGTAGCAATTTCATAACAGGACTAAAATTTCTGTTCCTAAGCACATCACTTTGCTTTTTGTCCCTCAAATGGTTGTTAGATACCCAGTTGCATCTTTAGGGGTTTTCCTTACACCATCTCTGAAGCAAATTGCCTAGGGTCCATTTCAGAGTGTCAAGACATACCGCAAAATCTGAGGTCTTATTTCTTAACTAAATTTGTAGATCTATACATGTATATCATTAACATCTCTCTACTTTTCATTTTCCTTTTTTGTGAATTAAAAAGTACTTCACAGAACTTAATCAGATTGTTGTTAAGGGCCCATTAACCGATTTATGCGCGCGCTCGCACGCCTTGCTAAGGAGGTGAATTTTCACTTCCGGTTACTTACGTCAGCCTGAGCGCGGAAAGTAACAACAAGTCAATAACTTCCAAATTTGCTTACATTTTAGATGTTTTTCTTTGTGTTTCACAAAATGTAAAGTAAAAAAAGTGCAAGCAAAGACAAAATAAGAGAAAGACAGAAAAACAAGAGCAATAGAAAGAG